TGCAAATACTACCACGATTTTTTTTTTAATTTCCAAATTTTTGGCGCCCCCAAAAGAAGCCAATCGCGTCGCGCCCTAGGCACGTGCCTACCGTGCCTATTCGGTAAATCGGCCCTGGCCAGATTGAAATAGCACATTTTACAGTTAAAACTGTTTTTGGACATTATAGCTCACAGATTAGGCTTACTGAGGTTAGTCAGATAAGCTGGAAGGAAAGTTAAGATATATTTACCTTTCTGTGGTTTAGTCAGAGTGCATCACTGATATAGAAAGATAAGATTTTTTAAAGCTTTCAGTACAGTAGGTGGTTTAACTTTTAAAACTCACAATTAGTTATTTTATTTAACATATTTTAAAGTTTTAAGGCATTTAATAACCTTGTTGGAGTAGTGTTTTGTTTCAATACTATACTACAAAATCTTTATTTTATCATTTTCCTTGATCTAATTTTAGACTGTCTTATTCCTTGTCATATAAGACTTTAAATGTTAAGGAATTGTATTTATTATGACCAATGGGATAAGCTTTTTATCCTACTTAGATTTTGTTCAACGATTATCTATTATTAACAAATTATGTGTTCTATTAAATAACCTAATTGAACTTGACACCATCACTCTTTTTATAAAACCATTATCTGTAACTTTCTCCTCATATAATAATTAAAGAACAAGACCAACTCCTAAAAAATACATCTGTTGAAAATATCCATCATTAAAAAAATCAAGTTTAAAAAACCAAGTTATTAAACAAATATTCCAAGTATAATCAAGTGTCTCTGAAAAATATTGATTTTAAATTTGATGTTAAGGCTATTTTTTGTGAAATTATAGTTTTGTAATCTACTATCCAATTTTAACTTAAAAAGCTGAACAAACTAAGTTATAATATTTTTCCCTCACACAGGCGTGACATTTAAATTTTGTTTTTCTTCAATTTTAAATTTACAAGCACTAAACTCATCCTGATTATTTGTGTCCTTGCAACCAGATAAGTATTCACAACAACAAACTTATGCTCCTTAATTTACATTTGTTGGTTTACTTTGAGAAGTACCTTTTTAGTACTTAAAGTTTTATAATTTACATTGTTGTAACATGGAGTTTATTACAAAGGATGACTGTAATGCAATACAACTCGTGCAGCCAAGTTTAGGATGTAAGGATTTGTTATACAGGACGAGTTGTTTTACCAAAGTCAAACGTTTGAGGTCCAGTCACACCAATGACATAACATTAGCATTCCAATCTCCATGTATCGAGACTAGCCTCAATGACCTCTCGTCTTGCAGTGACAATTCAGTATTCAGTTATATATGTTTTTTTCGGTTGCCTTGTTTTCTTGAAGATCATAATATTATTCACTGGTGCACATTTTTCCAGTATCTTCCAGGATTACATTAAAATACAAAACTACATTCTACTATTTTTTTACACAACACCAGTCAAAACCCTACACAAAAACCCCACTTTGGTAGCAGCAAAATATTTAAATTAAAACCCCTTCCAGCCAATAGTATTTCCCGAATCCCTCACAATTTTAAACAAAACTCAATCTAAAGCCATAGCCAAGATACAGGAAAGCTCACATAGTATAAACATGTAACCGGATCTGGACCTGACAGCCTGCCAAACATAAAAGATTCAATCATTTTAAAACTATTTATTAAATATAATTCGGAGAAACTAAAGCCCAGTCCATCCACACCCCTGACACTGTCAGTCAAACTGTCCAGGTTTAGCACTGTGATGCGAGTGAACGTCTCGGAACAGAACTCTCGACCAGCATCTACTGCCACCGTTTAATCTGGAATATAATCATCATATTATTCCCAGTACATATTTTCCCAGTATCACCAGCCAAAACCCCACACAAAAACTCCACTTTCATAGCAGCAAAATAGCTCAATTAAAAGGGTCATTAGTGTAGTAGGGTTTCAGATCTTGACTATTAAGTGAATTTGTTTTCTCCTCATACAGAATTGATTCTCTCATGTAAAAGTTATTACTGTTAGAATTACCGAATTTATAAAACCGTCTTGTGAGCATTTGATATTCAGAACAAGTTGTTTGTAAGTGTCAAACGTTTCTCTTTACTTACACATTCAGTTTGTTCTGACCAATGACAGATACCGCGTAGATTCCCTTCACTGTCATAATTCCATCGTTCTCTGACCCCTGATTGTTTATTTATTGACAAAGGTTGACATGGATAAGAAGCGGTAGGCCTACTACAGTAGAACCTCGATAGTTCGACATTTTGTGGACTTAAGGGGTGTCGAACTACTGAAATGTTGAACTATAGAGAGTAAATTGAGTTAATATACAGGAAAGTAAAAACACAAGTTTTAGGCCTATATAGAAATCGCCCAAATTTATTAAATACTAAAAAGCTTAACAATTTCACTGTTCATTAGTCTCAAGTCAACAATAAATTACAAATTAATGTTCAAGTCAGCTTATATCACAATAGTAACCATTATATCACCAAATATCACTTGATAAGATAGCTCAGCCCGTGTCGAACTACAAGGAGTGTCAAACTATCGAAGGTTTACTGTATTATCGTTGACTGTAAATCCTTAACGGTATTATGTTAGAACTCAACTGGTTCAAAGTGATTTAAATAAATGCTCCCCCACCATCTCAATTTTTTCCTCATTGACAAACATAGCTCTAAATATGTTATGTGCAAACTCAAAATATATTATTGCATATATATTTTTTATGTGGTAGGTACCTTATAATTTATACTAGGTTTAAAAAAATATATTTTTAACTATATGACTACAGTTTATGATTTTAAATTTTGATTTTGAAAATAGATTACACGTGAGCTAACTATTCATATACCGTAGTTGGTTAGTAGCTACACTAAACAATCTTAATTTATTAAAAAATTACAGGAATAGTTTATATTTGTCCAAATCTAGTAACAATCAACCCAATCAAAGGTGAACAATTTATTGAACACAATAGTAAGTGAAAGAATATTTCAGTTCTTCTTAGTGTTTAGATTGTGGAAGGCTCATCTTTCGTACTAGTTTAGCTACAAACTAACAACATTCTATTAAAAAAATATTTGTTATATTTTTTAAAATGTCAACACTGAATGGCAAAAAATTAATGACAAAAAAAATAAGTTTCAATAATATTCAGAGTAGAACCTCAGTAACAAGACCCTTGATAACAAGTCACCTTGGATAACAAGAGTAATTTTCTAATACCCTTGATTTCATAATATGCTTAATATAATATGTTATTGCAAACCTCGATAAGAAATTAATCTTAAAAACATTTCTTATTTGGCAATCCCTATGAGAGACTTGTTATCGAGGTCGTATGTAACTTTAAATCTTTGTCTAGACTTTGTCCAAGACCTGTTACATATAGGGGTTGGTGATGTACTGATATGCGTCACTGTCAGTTATTATAAAACCGTGGCTTGCATAACAGTAATAAGAAAATGCTGGAATGTCCAGATTATTGGATTCATAACGTCAACAGTCGACAACGTCTCTCCAACACAACTCGGTTACACAACGGTGACAGAAAACACGCAAACACACGTGACGCATTTCGTTTATTTGCCCTTTAGAATGACGTAGTCTGATTTATTGGAAGTAAAACTAAAAGTCACCAATTGCTTTCGGAATCACTTAATGTTATTGGGAAAGACGTTTTTTGTATTTTTACAAATCAGTTTAAGTTATTGTATGTTTTTATTTTATTTGTTGTAATGTTTTGCATACCAAGTGATATAAATCTTGAAGTAAATCTACATAATTCCGTATAAAAATAAGGTGTCTCTCTTTCTCCCTCTTTGCATCTTGCAAAAACAAGCTTGAAATAATTAACCTGAAATTTCAGATATGTTACTTACCAATGATGACTATTAGTATATTCAGTTTTGATATAGACTTGAGGATATGCTCTTGGGGCTCCAAGTTCTGAGGCAGCATCTTTATCTAACTACTTTAGTTAGTATCAAGGCTTATACTGTCTGATCTATATATTTTCATTTCATTTCATTTAATTTCATTTAATTCATATATTGTAACTGAAAACGTGGAAAGTAAATCTTTGCATTAGCAATTTTTGAGTTTGTATGAGTTGTTTTTGAATCTCCACTAATTTATACAGTACACCTTTCTTAGGCATTGTACCTATATTCTAAACTATTAATTTTTTAATTTTTGTGGGTTAAATAACCCTTGTTGCAAAGTAAAAATAAATATACTTTTAACTGAAATGGCGACCATACGATGGTAGATATTGTAAGTCAAGTATGAATGGAAATGAGTGTATTTCTATAGAGTGGTCGATTCATAAAAAAATGAGGTGCCGCTACTGCAAACTATTAAATGTGATCTTTACCTATTTATGACAGTATTTTCATCTTCCTGAAAGAGAGGTACCGGTACTCGGTTCCGCCGCGTTCCCCACAAATCAAAAACTGCTTCTATGTGATACAAAAAAATTTCATATATTAAAATAGTGGGTGTTAAAAATTATTTTCTTGATCTTGTCTTGTCTTTGAATTAAAAACAAAATATATTTACCAAGATTGAGAGGAATGTTTTTGCAATGAGTGTGATAATTAAATTACCAACAAAGTTAGCATCATTAAAGAGTGCAAGGGAATAGTTATAATTTACTTAACAAGAAAATTATAATGATAGGGAAAATACTAAAAGAATAAGTCAACTTTGACTCTGCCCAAACTTAGCGGAGTTTGGTTATGAAACTCCTGGCAACGTAAAGAATTTACGAAAGAATGCCATATTGCGTCTTAAGTCTTGTTGTGGCCCGATGTGTTGACTGGTCAAAATCGATTGGTGTATACATATATATTTACCGTCTTGTAATGGTTAGAGTCTTAAGTGTGGATGTATCATAAAGTGTTAGAAAGTTATAGTTTCTATAGCCAAAACAGACCTATGAATTTTCAGATGAGAATGATTGGCTGGATTCTATTTTAATGTGGGATGTTTGTTACAGTCGGCATTCCCACTATAAAGTGGTGCGGCTCGGAAGGTGACTACAATGTGTTGGTGATGGAACTGCTTGGCCCGTCACTTGAGGATTTGTTCAACTTCTGCTCACGTCGTTTCTCCCTCAAGACCGTGTTGCTTCTAGCGGACCAACTGGTGAGAGGCAAATTCTCTGGTAGAACGAGAGTATGGATAGATTCCTGTTTACCCTTTGGCTCTGAGGAGCAATGTCGGGCACAAGAGTAACATAACCAAACTTTTGCTTTCTTTAACCCAGTAAACGTTGTTTGGTGCTATACGTGACATGTGCTGTAATAAAAGGATTGAGTTAAAGAACTATTACGCTTTGGGATTTTGGGTAGCCAGTGTTGTTAGGGAATTAGACAGTTAGAGCTGAGCAATGGAAGAGCAGTGCTAGACGTCTCCCCATCCAGGAGACTACAATGGAGATTGAGGCATTTAAATATTGAGGGATTGAATAGCCTACTTACTGGCAGTAAGTAATTATAACTCTTCACAAACTAAATACTTGACAAAGTACAAAAGATTATAAAGTAACAGTACAAATCAGTCCTAAATGATTTGAACTAACTTGTTTCATAAAATAAGTAGTTTACACTGAAACTGCAGGGGTGTATTTCATGGTAAAAAATCAAGAATCTTGGGAAATCGCTATTCTACCAATAACATCTTAACATCAGCCTTCGACTTCTATAACTGTAAAAAGATTATTCAGCCAATAACTCACTGATTTGAAAATCACTCCAGGAGCTACATAACTGTCTGCCAACCATGGATACAACTCCTTGGCCAACAAATATACCCTGATGTTTTTATAAAAGAGGTGGTACTGAAGCTCATGCATCAGCAGATTAAACTCAGTTTCCTCAAATAGATTGCAGCACATGCTTCAGCCATTACATAGAGTTATGTTTGGTCACTATTGCATAGTTTAAGTCTAGTTATCACGATCACTTGTTGATGTTTTACATAATATATGCTTAATGTTTCAGATAAGTCGGATAGACTATATCCACAGTCGCAACTTTATCCATCGGGACATCAAGCCTGATAACTTCCTCATGGGCCTCGGCAAGAAGGGCAACCTGGTGTACATAATAGATTTTGGACTGGCCAAGAAGTACCGGGACGGACGCACGCACCAACACATCCCTTACCGGGAGAACAAAAACTTGACGGGGACTGCGCGATACGCGAGCATCAACACTCATCTAGGCATTGGTGAGCTTTTTTTATTGCTTGCTGATATTATAACAATTCATCAATAAAATTGACTGGTGAATAATCAGCGTCTAAATAACAAGATTTTAAAACAAAATAAGAACATCAATAATTAGTTGCAGTAATGAAAATCATAGCAAAAATATTCATTGTAAAATACCATTATAAGAAAACCCTTTTTGGCTTTCACCAAGACAATTTTAGACATTACTGCTAACAAAACATTTAGGGCATTACTGAACTACTGACTTAGGTGAAATCACCTAATCACATTGTGGTTTATTTGTACAGTACACATTTTAAAGTTGTAAACTTTAGAATTGATCCCATATCACTTACGATCATGATAATTAAACTTGAGACTAATTTTAAAGGTTGGTTAGCAGTAGTGTTGATTACTTGTCTGTTTGTGCAGAGCAAAGCCGGAGAGATGACTTGGAGTCGTTAGGCTACGTGTTGATGTACTTCAACCGTGGCTCTTTGCCGTGGCAGGGGCTAAAGGCAGCCACCAAGAGGCAGAAGTACGAGCGAATCTCTGAGAAGAAGATGTCCACCCCCATAGAGGAGCTGTGCAAAGGATATCCTGGTAACCAAACTCTAGAACCTATTAAAACTATGATTAGGCTACAGTTAATCCCGTCTAACCCCACTCTGGGTTCACCAAAACCATAATAAAATATTTAAATCAATTGGCAAATTAACTAGGCAATGGGAATAGTTAAAAGTTGCACAGGTAGTTGCTCTGGCATGGTTAACACAATTTCATGAAGCAGACGACACAGATCTCATACTGTGATCAATATCAAATAAATATCAGAAAACAACTGTCAATTATCTAAAAAAAATAGGTTTTGTGTATTCAGTTGTAGATTTTGAATATTACAGTACAGTAGACTCCCTCTTATCCGGACTCCTCGGGATCAAGGCCAGTCCGGATAACGGTATTTTTGATTAAACTGATGTGTCCCCAAAAACTCATTAAAACGGACCGTTTAAATGCATACTGTACAGTGTTTGACTTAAATTTAGGAGAGCATTATATTTAGACACGTAATCCGGTGTCTAAATACCGGGGTTTGAATCACTGGTCTCAAATCCTTCCCACGAAAAGAGTTGTTTCAGTACCGCCCACTTCCTGCCGATCTAGTCCGGTTAATCCGATGTGATGATAAAAATTGTCAAATTAAAGAGATGTAATTTCCGCCGAGTGTAGTCTGGTTAAACCGATGTCTGGTTAAAAGGTGTTCGGATAAGAGGGAGTCTACTGTAATTCAAAGACAAGTAAACATGTAAACAAAGTCGGGGTTCTTTTTACAAGAATAGTCTTTAAATTCCAACTATTGATTAACTGAAAAATAGGCCATCTCATGTGGTCCAACTCCCTTATTTCTGGTTTATCTGTTATTATTTTCAGCCGTTCATTTTATTTATTTATTATCCCAATGGTACACAGGATTTGTCTACAAAGCTAAACCTGATCTCCCGTAAAAGACCCCAATATTATGGTCTAGACTCATTCACAAAAAAGCACCAAATATTGTATTACCAATATTTTTACTTGCTACTGTGTAGTTTCATTTATATTTGTAAAATATGATAAACAATCCATTTTTTTTACTAATATAAATGTTTCATGCTAATCTTGTGTCTTGTGGCCTACATTATATTACATCTTATCTTACAGTGACTTAGTTAGATTTCACCGTCTTCAAAATTAAATCTTGCATAATTTACACATATTTTACTAGTGATTTATCTCTGAAAGTTGCTTGATAAGATCTCAATAATCCCCTGATCGATTCTTGGTTTTAATACCCACCTCAAGTGCGGGGTTTGGAAAACAGGACTTGACATTTTATAAGTAAATGAAATAGTTTAAATAATAATGAAGATGGGATGGGTACACAACAGAAGTTACTGACTGTGTTCCTGAATGTATTCTAAGCAAAGTGCGCTTTTCTCAGAAAACTATTGAACGTACAAGTGTCTTGAAGTTAGAACGAGCAGTGCAGTTATTGAAAGTTTTGTCTGTGTACAGCTGAGTTCCCGACGTATCTCAACTACTGCCGAACACTGAGGTTTGAGGAGCGGCCCGACTACTCATACCTGCGTCAGCTGTTTCGCACTCTCTTCCACCGTCAGGGCTTCACCTATGACTACGTCTTTGATTGGAACATGCTCAAGTTTGTAAGTGCCCTAGTTTTCTTATTTATCCACTGAATAAAAAATTAGAAACCGTGGTTATGCCTAGTATGCATAGAGCAATGTGGCATGATATTAATTGTAAGTTTCCTTTGGTTACAAACCTGTTTGAATAAAAGGTATACAGTACACTCCCGATTAATCGAGGTTGTTGGGACCGAGACTACCTGTACCGAAAATCTCAGATAACACGGAGGTTGCGTAGATTTTGAGGTTAGGGTTTCGGTACCTTATTATGGAGTCAAATACTTGTAAAATATATCTTTAAACAACACATAGCAAATAAAAATGATTTTTATGTAACCTTTTTCCCAAATATCGTAGGATTGTTAAAGAAAAAAATGACACATTAAACATGTTCAACACCTTTTTAATCGTCTTGAAAAACTTAAAAGACAGTAGCCTAGTATTAGAATTATGATAAAAACCAACACACACTACATTATTTAAAACAAAACAATAAGGTGGATCCTTCTAGTTTAAAAGGCAGAAAATTACATTTTCAAGTTTGACGTGATCTATATCTTGACACAATCATGTCTACATTAAAACATAGAAATGCAGTAGACTGACTGACACTGCTATTGTTTATGATTATGTTCTGCAGACGACTCGTCCACTCCAGTTTGCCATTGGTAGCCGGCCAACCTAGTTCCATGTGATTTTAATTTTTAAGGTTTTTGCGGTTCATTCTAACTTTTAAAATTAAAATAAAACGTAATAATGGTTATTCCAAGTACTATATTCGTTTCAATAAATCGTAAATTATTTGCTATTTTTACGTTTCTTTAAATAGGAAAATACTTTAATAAAGTAATTATTGTTTTCCCACTGAAAATCCAAATAAATATTTAGGCCAAAAACAACCTCGGATAACCCGAGGGCTCGGATAACCGGGGCTTGGATAACCGGGGCTTGGATAATTAGGAGTTTACTGTAGTAAACGTAATGCAAATTTGCATATGTCAGCAAGGGGTTTATTTATATTATGATATTAGATTCAATGTTTACAGGAAATTCAGTAGACATATTACTAATATTATTTTGCCTAGTATGTATAAAAATATCTGCTTAGGAACAAAGAATAAAGAAGCCAGTAGTCTTTGTTTGCGTTTCATCTGAACTTCAGTTGCAGCAGCAGAAGTTTCGTCCTTTTTAAAATTGTACAAAGATAGCATGGAGACAAGATGGTGCCCACTACAGTGAAAGACACACTGAACAATTTTAAATTTTCCTTGTTCCATTTTCCTCGTCCTCTTCCTGATCCTTTTCCTCCTGTCCTGTTGCAGATGCCAAGAGAAGTTTGGGGAATGAAATGTAAAATAAAAAAAGAATTATCTGTGATGAAGCAGTCTATGGTGAACAAATATGCACTGAAACCTATGAAATGGAAGAAAAGACCAATCAACGAGGTTATTGACCAATCTTTCATCAAGAGCATTAAATCCAGAAGTATCGATGAAGCATTGAAGAAAGAGGCTATAGATAGGGTGATAGAGAGGTTGTTAAAGAAGAAGATGCCAAGTGAGGATGTTGCAGAAGTAGATGAAGCACGTGAGGAAAGTCCAGAAGAGGTGTTTGAGGGATGGTGCTGTGAGGAACTAGACGACATTCCACATGCCTTGTCCTATGGGTGGAACAGTGAGACAGATTTGTATTACGAAAATGTGAAGAAGTTGAAGAAGTTTGTTGAAAGGGGGTCTACTACTACTGTTGGACAAAAGATGGAGGAAAATGTCACAGTGTTAATTAATGAAGGAACTGATGATAAAACTGAAGCTGTAGAAGCAAATGAATTTGTGTCACCAACAAAAAGTGCAAAAATAGGTAACAATTTTTCAGTTGTATTTTTAAATGAAAACACTTCTGAGATGGAATTGGTTATCGGCAATCTTACATTCAGTAATGTAACCTCGTGTTATAAAATACATTGCCTCATAAAACATGATTCCCAGCTCAGTGCGGAATCTTTGCAGATCGCAAGGTTTAAATTATCTGTAATGAGCAATAGTAAGAAAAGTAATCAGATAAGTGCTGAATCTTTCTGTCAAAAATATGTAGTCAGTGAAACCAACAAGCACGGTATGTGTGGTAAGAATTTTGAGGAGTTGAGTAAGAATGTTTTTTACTTTGGAGAATCAACAAGCAATGACCATCATGTTCCGAAAGATGCAAACAGCATGATTAATGAAGTGGCAGACAATTCATTTACAGATGAATTTGGCTCTGAAGAGCCCTGTGAACAATTAACTTTAGAAAATGCGCATTGTGAATCTCAAAACGCTAAGGAAGAAGAAAACCCAGAGTTTGAATGTTCACATGGAGAAAGTATTAACACAGATGAGTGTAAGAAAAACGTTCTAAAAGATGCAAACAGCATGACTAATGAAGTGGTAGACAAATCACCTGCTGGTGAATTTGGCTCTGGAGAACACTTTGACCAATTAACTACAGAAAATACACTATGTGAATCTCAAAACGCTATGGAAGAAGAAAACACGGTGGTTGAATGTTCAGGTGGAGAAAGTATTGATGTTCCGAAAGATGCAAACATGATTAATGAAGTGGTAGACAAATCTTCTGCAAATGAATTTTGTTCTTTAAAACTCTGTGAACACTTAACTAAAGAAAATATACAATCTCAAAACGGCAAGGAAGAGGGAAACACAGAGGTGGAATGTTCAAGTGGAGAAAGTATCAACAAAGATGATTGTGAGAAAAATGTTTCTTTTGTGAAATCCATCGAGAATCTTAATGAAACAAAAATAAATAGATCTAGAGGAGTGAAGCGTCCTTGGGATGTTAAAAGAGAGAAAAATGAAGGTTCCTTAATGAATGTAAATTATGAAATTATTCCTCACTTTCAAAGTTTACTTAAAATGATAGTCTTAGCAAAGAGCTTTTTTAATTACTTGTGTACCAATTGGTCCAAGCAAACAACAGAATTGAAACAAAAAGGGCTTAGCAATGAATACATTAAAACAAACAGAATTAGAAGAAAGTCACGATATCAGATAGCAAATAACATTCGGTTTAAAAATATGTGGAAAAGAAAATGCAAACAACAGTAACAAACAACCCATGCCCAGAGACTCAATTAAAGCTATGTAAATAGTTGTAAAATCGTTCACCAATATTGTGATGACAAGTGTTTTGACTTTTAATAACAATAAAAAAACATAACATAACCATTATTGTTCCATTAACATACCTTAAAAAAATTGTAGAGACAGTTTGTGCTTAGCAAAGAAAAAAAAATAGCAGTGATGGAATTGTAAGACTGATGCAAAGACTGATTAACTAGAACAGGTAGTTTCAATTGTTCAAATTTTTGAAGTTAAATTCAAATTATTTACTTACTATTTTTAAGCTAATTTTTGGTTCCTTCATGGATTTTAAAAGTTATTTTAGTTTGGAATTTTCTGTGTTTTGTCAAATGTGTATTGTTTCATGATTTGTCACATCAGTTGTTTTTAATTTGTTTACTTCAGAGTTTGTAAAATTTTAGCTTAAAATGATGATGTTCTTGTTTCAATTTGATGTCAAATAAAGGTACTCTGCCATCAGTCATTTAGATTATTTTCAATCAAAAGTGTATATCCATTGTAAAATCAGTTCTCGAATTGATACAGGTCAGGTCACGTCTTATTTTACGACTGTTATAATAATAATAATAATTCTTATTATTATGTTTAGGCTATAGTTCTATGGTTTTATACCTTTTTATGAACTATCTAATGTTTTTATCGACACTCTTCTATATTATTGGTTAGTCATTTAGGTGAACTGGTGAAGAGCTATGCGTTGGCAAAGAGAGCGTGTGTGGACTAGTTGAACCCCCTTGTGCTGCGTCGTCGCATCAAGCCCAGTCAATAAATGCACAAACTGCCTTTTTTCATAGCTAAATAGTAGAAAGCTGGATTTGTTATATGTGATAGAATCACTTAAGACGTGTATTTTCAAAAAGTTCTTCTTAAAAAAATCTTCAAAAATTTTTTTTTAAAGAGATACATTTTATTTTAATTTTAATAATCTTAGTGTTTTTGTGTACACAATTTTGTTTTACCCTCTATATAGTTTTACAAATCAAAATACGCTAAATGTTTCAAACAAAAGTTTGCGTGTGTTTAATGTTTATAAATATATTTTTGGTTGTCTGAGTGAACTGATGAAACTGTGGGGCTTCTAGAAAGAGAGCGTGTGCAGGCTACTTTAAAACATCTTCATTCTTCGCAGCATTGGTCGCCGATGTGTTACGCCCCAGTCCTAAGTACTGTCACCATTAATGTACAACAAAATTATTACACTACCTTAAATAAATAAATATAGGATGGAGAGGACACAGCTAACTCACCTGATGAAAGGTTGCAGATGAGTCAAAGAACACATAAAATCACACACATAATTTACTTAATATTTCGCCTCTTTCAGAGGCTTCTTCCATAGCTATCCAAGCTAAATGCTTTTTCCTAAAAACATTACACTACCTTAAAAGTTTTAAGGTAGTGTAATAATTTTGTTGAGTCAAAATAAATAATTTATTTGATCCAGTCTTTATTAAGTTTGCCTTCTGTCTTCTGCTTGAAGATGGTGGAGCAAGTTGTGTCGATGATTGCACCACTTTATTAGTGACTAGCTGTACCCGCGGGCTTTGCCCTGTTTTACTTCATAAGTGAGCTCGTTCGCATGGCTCAATCACGTCCTGGTTGAAGTTCGTTCGCTACGCTCACTCTGGAGCTCGTTCGCTGCGCTCACTTGCCTTCAGGTTACCTCGTTCGCTACGCTGACTCGCCTCAAGGTTGAAGTTCGTTCGCTACTCTAACTCGCCTCCAGGTTGAAGTTCGTTCGCTACGCTCACTCACCTTTTGGTTGCAAATTAGCTGTTTTCATAAATTAAAAAAAATAATAGTGCTGCACCCTGTTGGTAATCATTGTAAGTTTTTAATGCTTTTGCATATCATAGAACCAACTTTTTAGTTGAAACAGCTGACTAAATTCTTTAATTCCCTTTTAATATGAATACTCATAAGGTTAATATGGGGAACTATAGAGCCACTGGGGTGGAGCCCGAAAGGATTTTTGAGATAAGAATATGCCTATATGTTAATCAGGAATGTGAGCTATCATCATGCCAAATTTCAGCAAAATCCGTCCAGTGGTTAATGCGTTTACTTGTCACAAACATACATCCATACATCCAAACTTTCTCATTTATAATATTATATATATTAGTAGGATTATTAGTCATCATTATTAGTCATCACTAACTAATGATTGCACACTGAAATAATCATCCTATAGCCTATTATTGATAATATTTTATGATAAATATGCCCTTTCAAATAGCTTTAAGTAAAATAATCATCATGGTTGACAATTTGATTTTTTTTAATGAGTAAATACAAATATAACCTATTAACTTGGTGCCGAAATTATTGTTACTGACATTTCACCATCGATTCTCGGTCCCCGTACTTTGAAGAACCGATAGAACCGACATTTGACTTTAAGTACCGACCTATCACTATTAAAAAAAAACCTTTATTTACTGGGCTAAAAACCGTTAACAGCTATCTTGAAGCCATCATTACCAATGGTTGTGTATGTTTGCAGGGAGGCACCAGACACTCCGGCACTGAGGGTGAAGCAAGGATGTTTGTGACGCCACCGGGAGATTTCTTCAGTGGCAGCCGGAGAGCAAGAGTCAACACGACCGCAACACCCCACACACCCACCGCGGGACTATACACTTGTAAGTTATACCACATGTCATTCCCATGTTGGATCTGAAGCCATTTTAAGAATAAGAAATAAACGTACAATACAAAGTCAGACAGGCCGGGACCGTGGCTGATTCAAGCGAAAATGTGTGTCAAAAGAGCAGAAGAACAAAAAATGAAAATGTATGTGTTTAACAATAATATTCTTTACCATGGAAAAGAAAATTTTAAAATATTTACACATTACAACTATACAAAAGCAATGATTCACCACTCAGGCATGCATCACTATAATCAGGCACCAGAAGTGCAGTCAAGTGGGAAACCGGCAGAAACACAATCACCGTCCGATTTTGTTCTCCTGTAAAGCAGTAGCGTTCCTAACATGAATATTTTATGTTGGTTTATATTTATGTTCATTTATTATTTCTTAACCGATCTGGGTTACCCGGAATTCAAACTGAGAGGGAATTGACTTAACGGGGTTGTACTGCAGTTGAATTGAACCACTTGCAAATTGTGCTTTTATTAATAACTGATTTCTGTTGAGTACGACTTTTCAAGCAAAATGGAAAGGATGATTTATAAAAGACATTTTTATGCCGCATAAAATATCACAGTACAAAAACTAGGAGCAAAATAGGACTTAAGCTATGTCCGGCTTGGATGGATTTTGACAGCATAGTTGGGGACCTGTTTTACTTTTTTATACTAGTAGTCAAACAGTAAACCACACCAGTACTACTGAAGTGAAGTCTGTTTGGTAGTCTAGTACAGAAGAGGGCACCTATTTACTTTTTTTGGCTTTTATTTTGGTTAAATATAGACATGTGGCAAAATAAACTATAAATAGACTTGATTTATAAAAAAATAAATTGATGGATAAACACTGCAAATAAAAACACTGTTTTCATCAAAGTTATTATTAATTTTTTTAAATATGTGTGATACAGTTACATACTTGTGCTCACAATTTAAGTTGAACATAGATGATATCGTGGATTGCATGTATGCGATTTGAGAACCAAAATCACATTTTGCTTCAATCCCCCGTAGTATCATTTTTCCACTGTACTTCACCAAACTGTGGTTGTTTTGAAAGCAGCTGCGGCAGGCCGAGAGCGAGGAGCAGACCCTGCACCCGAACCCCACCGTCGAGTGTCAATGCGTCTCTCTGGCCACCATCCTGCCGACGACAAGAACACGGCAACCAACAAGTCACTCAAAAAGTATGTGAAGGCTGTCATATACCCCTATATTAACTTAAACCTTAAAAAAAGCTTTGGTTGCATTTTCATCTAACCTTTTGTTTTGTACTTTCTTTAACAAAACTAAAATATCTCAAACATCTTTTTGTAGGAATTTATATTTGCATGTAAATTCCAGGTTGTTCAAAGTTAGTTAACCCTCGAGCTGGCCGGGCGCATTTACAACGTAACGAAAATTGTCGATTTTTGCACAAAAATGAAAAAAAAATTCACTTAATATAGTATTTATTCGGTTCAGAAATGAATAATCTGTCAATTGATGTGCATTTCAACTATTTATACGCCTTTGGGAAATCTTAAAACTCTATGAAAATAAAGCATCAGCTGACGACATTGTCATGGTGACGCAATCGCTTATTACCAGCGTCTGTTGTTGTTTATTTCGTTTTGTGTTTGGTTAGTTTCGGTGTTTTTTCGTTATAAGTTTTATTTTTTATTGAAATGTGAGTTGATTTCACTTCAAGATGAATGATTGTAACTACTGTGACCGATCTAGTGAGTTCCAATTCTAAGTAGCGAGGAGACATGCAATTCAAGTACTAGGCCTAGTGTAGGTTGTACACCGAATATGTATATGGTAACTAGCTGTACCCGCGGGCTTTGCCCCGTTTAACTTCATATGTGAGCTTGTTCGCATGGCTCAATCACGTCCTGGTTGAAGTTCGTTCGCTACGCTCACTCACGTTTAGGTTGGAGCACGTTCGTTGCGCTCACACGTCCTGGTTGAAGTTCGTTCGCTACGCTCACTCACCTTTAAGTTGGAGCTCGTTCGCTGCGCTCACTTGCCTTCAGGTTAGCTCGTTCGCTACGCTAACTCGCCCCCGGGTTGAAGTTCGTTCGCTTTGCTCACTCACCTTTTGGTTTAAAATTAGCTGTTGTCAAATATTTTAAAAAATAATAGTGCTGCACTCTGTTGGTAATCCTTGTAACTTTAATGCTATTGAACATCATAGAACAGAACCAACTTGTTTAATTGAAACAGCTGTTAAGATTCATTTATTCCATTTAAATATGAGTACTCATTAGGTTAACATGGGAAACTCCAGAGCCACTGGGGTGGAGCCCGAGAGTCCGATCAGAATAAAAACCACTTAGTTTTCCTATTTAATGCCTAAAGAATCAGTGTACCAAATTTCAGCCTCCTAGGTAAATGGGAAGTGGGAGAATTAGTGATGAGTGAGTGAGTGAGTCAGTCAGTCAGTCAGTCAGTCAGTCAGTCAGTGAGGGCTTTGCCTTTTATATATATAGATAAAAACTGTTATATGTATTTTTTTTTTTGAAACAAGGTACATGTATTATATATCATTCTTTTCCTCATGAAATGCTGCACAATTTGTATATTTTGGAAAATTATCTTGAGTTCATTGATTTGTGTTATATTACAAAATTATATATGCATATAAATAAAAAAAGTTTACGCTTAGTAAAAGAAAAAATAATCTTGATCCGAACATCTGTTCGTTATTTCATAGATGATTATGTAATAAAAATTGGACGTAAACTTGACAAAAATCGCACAAAACTGCATTTTTGAATGTCCGTAATTTTATTTACAAAGTAGTGAGGCCA